AGGGAAAATATCACAAAATTGATTTTACTTCTTGCCCAGATTTCTAGGCACTGGTACAGTGTGGTTAATAAAGCAGAATTTATTGTTCCTCCGTTGTAAAAATATGCAACAAAAGTAATTAGCTATGGCAATGCATCACACAGTTTTCACACTTTCAGAAATAATTGTGTCTTTTCCCTTTGTAATTTGAAACAGTGATGCGGAGTCAACATTGCAAAATTACTTTTAACCACTGGGGGGCAGAAGATGTTTCACATCTGTATGTTACCAACTTTAAGTTCTTAAGCCAAAAGGGCAGTCTCCACTACAGCAAAAGGTCTTTAGGTCTTTAGGTCTCCCTGTGTGTGCACAGCACACTGCACATGCAATGCTAGGTTGGTAGTCTTAGGGGCTTTTAAACTTTAAACCAGTAGATAGTCTCCTCCATTTAACAGATCATAGGAGGTGAGGGTGAACGTCCCTCTGAGTCTAGCACATCCTCTCTGAGTCTTAGGACACTACAAGGAGATCACCAGGACAGCCAAAAGTACAAAGAGAGACGATGTCTCAGAACTAAACAAACAAACAGAAACTACCCAGTCGGTTATATTCAGATATAACAAAAATGGGCTAAAACAACTACTCAAGAGAAAAATATTCTCATTAAGAAATCATTCAAGAGGCTGTAGAGATGGCTCAGAGGTTAAGAGCACTGCCTCCTCTTCCAGAGGTCCTGAGTTCAATTCCCAGAAACCACATGGTGGCTCACAACCATCTGTAATGAGATCTGGTGCCGTCTTCTGGCCTGCAGACATACATGCAGACAGAGAACGCTGTATATAATAAATAAATAAATAAATAAATAAATAAATAAATAAATAAATGTCATTCAAAGGGGCTCATGAACCACACTACTCCCCAAGGACTCCTGGCAATTGGTGGTTGGGTGGGAAAGGGGATGTCACTTTCTTCAGTGGTGTAGGCACTGACAAGTTGCCAGTGCTCCAGAAGGGTAAGGCTTGATGGGGCGGAGAAAGGCTTCAGTGGAAGCAGGGAGCGGATGAGAGAGGGGAATGGCGGTGAGGATGACTATACTCCAAAGACACAAATGAGGGAAAGGCGGTGACTCGTTTGCAGTGATCTTCAAGGCAGACTAGGCATGCGCACTAGTGAGGGAAAAGCGGTTGACTCCTTTGCAGAGTGATCTTCAAGGCAGACCAGGCATGCGCACTAGTTGTCTTCCTGGTGAGTAGACACACACCCGAGACCAAGGAGGTGCGAAAGTTCAGCTTTTAAATGTAAATTTTTAAAAAGCACTGGCAGGGGCTTTACATCTTCTAGGCAAGGAATAAGATCCGGTTTTTCTTCATTTAAGAAATATTCTTACCTGCCAAGAAGTTCCCTCTGGAACTTAATTCGTTTTCCAAATGCCACTTTGTTAAAGGTCTGTACAAGATTTAAAGGAAAGGTTATAGACTATAATTCAATCTTTAAATTATTATATATGTCCTGAGAACTCTGTGAGTGAAGATAAATGGTCTCATCATGATCCGGAATTTTGGTCAACCCAGATACAATATTCTAGGCATATTTCTTTCCCTTCCTAAATTTTACCTTCCCTGTGTGAAGGACTGCTGGGATAGGAAAATTAGCAGGGGATCAAAGTGTCTGAAGCACAAAGGTGGCGTGAGGATGGTAATGACATCAGCGGTCACTGCATATCTAAGCATCAGTCACTGTGACTAGCCATAGGCAGGGCACTTGTGCTGGTGTCGGCCACACACATTACCTATTGGCTGAGGAAAACAGGTTAAACCACAGAGTTAGGGATCAAGCGTGCTGGTCACACATGTCGAGTGAATCCTGATATTGTCTCTGACAGCCTTTCAGAGGAGAGGCATTTCCAAAGAACGGCTCTTTTGAAGATAAAACTGTGTCCCTTTCCTCGAAGTTTTAGTTGAGAAACTCAATGGTAAAACTAATTACATTTCTCAGGGGCTGGAGAGATGGCTCAGCGGTTAGGAGCACTGACTGTTCTTCCAGAGGAACCAGGTTCAATTCCCACAGCTCATAGCTGTCTGGAACTTTTGTTCCAGGGGATCTGCTGCCCTTGCACAAACATTACCTGCGGGCAAAATACCAGTGTACGTAAAAATAAATACATTTTTTAAAATTACATTTCTCTACCTTTTACACTCATTTGAATTAAAATTAAATTAAATTAAAATATACTATAACCTGGAGGTTATAGCCATATTGTTAGAGGCTTGCCCCTTTAAAACAATGATTGCTCTTAAGAAACAAATCCCTCAGCCTGGGAGTAGGGGATTAGATCATCACCCTTGCCATTATATTCCCCAATAGAAAGCAAAGTGCTGTGCTGTGCCATGCCATGCCGTGCCATGCTGTGCCGTGCCGTGCTGTGCTGTGCCGTGCTGTGCCGTGCTGTGCCGTGCCGTGCTGTGCATGCTGTGTTGTGTTGTGCTGTGCCGTGCTATGCAGGGCTGTGCCGTGTTGTGCTGTGCCGTGTTGTGCTGTGCCGTGCTGTGCCGTGCCGTGCTGTGCATGCTGTGTTGTGCTGTGCTATGCCATGCTATGCCATGCTGTGCCGTGCCGTGCCGTGTTGTGCTGTGCTGTGCTGTGCCGTGCTGTGCCGTGCTGTGCCGTTCCATGTTGTGCTATGCCGTGCTGTGCTGTGCCATGCTGTGCTGTGCTTTTACAGCTCCTAGTTTATGGCCCTAATCAGTATCTGACTCTCCCATGCTTACTGTCACATGTGTGATGTTGAGCTAAGTCACATGATGCAGATTGCCCAGCTACCCTGACAGGTTATAGAAGTCACTGTCACATATGTGATGTTGAACTAAGTCACATGATATAAAAGGTCCAGCTACCCTGACAGGTTATAGAAGCAGGGTATCTCTCTCGTTGAGGATTTCTCTGGAGACTGCTCTGGCCTGGGCCTGTGCATCCACACCTACACAGTCATCTTCTGGATGGTGGTTTTCTTGCCTCCTGGTTTTTGTTCCCTCTCAATGAGGTTTCCCTCCAGGTTTTAAAGAGAGACTTCAGTCCATCAATTTCAAACGCGGCTATAGTCTTTCGAATGCTCTCCCAGTTCAAGGCTGCAGCCTGACCTCAAGACCCTTTCTCCTAATGAACCTTCTCTTTCATTCTTGAAAGGGAATTATATGCCAGCTTCTTTTCATGAACCGACTTGCATTATTTCCCCTTTTAAAATTATATTTTACATACATTCAACCTAGAGTTGGCACAACTTCTCTAGTAGAAGCATCATCCGCAGGCATGGACCGACGATGAATCTTCCTCAGATATACCTCACTCTTCTATCAGGTCCAGTTTCTTCCTAGGAGCACTCAAGCCATGACTAAATGGACCAAAGCCCAACACAGAGAAACTGAACATGGAAAGTACTAGAAGGCTGGTGTTATGATGTAAATGTGCAATGGTCCTCAACAGGCTCTGTTTCTGAGTGTTTGATCCTCAGCTGGTGGCACTGTTTGGGACATGGGCCTCGCTGGCAAATGTAGACCACCCAGGTCAGGCCTTGCGGGTTAGTATACTCAGGCCTGCTTTGGGTCCTGTTCTGTGCTTGCTGAGCCACCTGGGGTGTGATGAGCGGCCTCAGGCTCTCACCATCTCAGACAGCATCTCCAGCCACTGTCTTCCCTGGTGGGAGCTGCCCTCTGAAACCCCGGCAGGCGTTTTGTCAAGAGCAATGGAAAAGAGTAATCCAGATGGGGACATCGAACGAGGTGGGCAGACAGGGAGTTAAGTGGGAGGTCCTAGGCAGAGGATCTGCAAAATACTAAAAGATCAGGATAGCGTTCCATCCGAAAAACGAAACCGATGGGAGACTGTCAAAGCCATTTTTCCCTCACCCACCACCCCATCTCCAGCAGGGTCTAGTCTTCCATGTCGGGGTGGGGGTGGGGGACATACTACTGTGCTCTTGCTGAGAAGAGACTGTTAGGTTGGGAGCCTAGGCCCCAGTCCCTGGCATCTATCTCAGCCCCCAGGCCTGGTCTGGACTTCAAATCCCAGCAGGCCAAGTCCTGACCCCTCCCTAGGGGTGGGGTCAGGACCACTCCCCAGGGTACTTAAGTGATCCCCCAAAAGAAGAACACATGGTCCCCCTTTCTTCTTCCCCAGGGGTCACTTTTCTGCGGCTTCCCATTTCCCCCTTGGGGCCACCGGAGAGCGCAGATCTCCCATTAAACCTGGATATTTCTTAATTTGGCTTGTTTTGATTTGGCTTGATTGGGAATTTTTGCGTCGTCAGGGAGCTTGCTTAGGAAATATTCCTAACAGAGTCATCACAACAAAGGTGATTTAAGAATGCAAGCATCTAGCTGGGGACTTGCTTACAGTTCCAGAGGAATCCATTCTTGCCTCATTTTCAGTCCCCACTGCCAAAATGTCACCTTTCTGCCTTCAGTTTCTTTCAGGTTGTTTGTCAAAGGCCCAAACTCGGAAACCTAAGTCTGGTTGGCATCTTTATTCTGACCTCCCCTTTCTCTTTCTTGGACGGGGTCTTAATGTAGTCCAGGTCAGCCTCAGTCACTGTGGTCCAGCTTCTAAGCTGACCTTGAACCTCCTGAGACTGGTGGTCCAGTTTCTAAGTGTGGGGATTACAGGTGTGCACACCACCAAAGTCACTGTAGCTGACCTTGAACCTCCTGAGACTGGTGGTCCAGTTTCTAAGTGTGGGGATTACAGGTGTGCACACCACCACTCCAGTTTATTTTGTTTTCTGTTTTGTGTTTTTTTTTAGTTCCTGTCAAAGTTGCAGCCAGAACTGAGGAAATGCAGGAGGAACCAGGACTTTGGGACAGGCAGATAAACTGTCTCCACACTCCACCATCCCATTCAGCCCATGGTCAGGAAAATAGAAGAGGCTCAGGGCTGAGCTCGGAGAATCCCACGGATCCCACCTTAGAGCTCGACAGCGCTAGAAATAAAAATGGATTCAAACGCGGTGAAAACAAAGTCGTTTTTAATACTCAGTTCTGCGGAAAGCAATGGCGGCGTTGAGAAAACCCAAACACGGCTGGCGTACAGATTTGAAGCAAGACAATACATGTTTTTTAAAATCCCCTGATGTCGAGAAACTTCCCCCTCTTTTCTATCGACCAGAACTTGCTCCCGTCCCAAATTCCCCACCTTGTTGGTTTAGAACAAGAACCCTATCCATAATTTGAGCCTTGAGCCTGTCTGTCCTGTTCTCTGGTGGAGTGCAAGGCGGGCGCCCAGGAGCTCTGCAACTCTTCAGAGCTATGAGATGGGCTGGGAGAGCCGCCCTAGGAGAAGGGGCACCTAGCGCCTCGGGCTTCTCCGTAACTCTGAGGAACTCAGAGCACAGCTCACACCGCAAATGGACTATAACAGTGTTCCTCACCCCGAGACCTCCCGGCTCTCCTCCTCAGGGCCAGAGCTTCTGCTCAGCTCCGACTGAGAAAGTACACCCGGAGCTCTAGGACAGTTGTAGACCTAGTAGACCGCGGTGCAGGAAGGAAAGGAGGATTGGCAGGCAGACGCCACCAGAGGGCGCCTGGAATCCGTCTGAGGCCTGGGGGGCGGAGCGGGGAGAGGCGGGGCCTTGGGAGCAGAGGCGCGGAGGGGGAGGGGCTGAAGGAGGCCCGGCCCAGGGAAGGTGGAGAGACAGGCGTGTAAGCGGAGCCTACGGTGGACGAGGCTGAAACCTGTAAAAGGCGGCGCAGCTCTAGGCAAAGAGGGAGAGGCTGGGTGCGGAGCCTGAGGCCGGGGCGGGGTCTGAGGCTGGAGCGGACCTGAGGCCGGGGCGGGGTCTGAGGCTGGAGGCGGAGCCTGAGGTTGAAGGCGCTAAGACCCCAGGGCCGGGGGTGGGACGAGGGCGGAGAAGCCTGCTGTCCCACCTTCCCCTTTGCCGCCAAGCCCTCTCCCCTCACTTCCGGCCCCCCGCTTCCGATCCTGGTGGCCCGGGACCTCCTGAGGGGCGTCCTAACACCCCGAGGGAGCTTCCCGCTGCTCCTCGGCCCGCGCTCCGGGCGCCCCACCCTCAGGATGTGTTACCTAGGTGCGCGGTCACCGCCGCCGTCACAGGCAGCCTCAACACCGCCCCCGGCCAGCCCCAGTCCCTCCGGCCTTCTTCCCCCGCACCTGCCAGCACGCTCCCGGGGCCCGCAGGTGCGGAAGACCGCGAAATTCCACGCCCCGCGGACACCCGCCAGCTCCAGTGACAAGAAGGGGAGGCGCGGTCGGGCGGAGCTCCCGGGCAGATGTTTCAGGTGCGTGCGACCTCTGGTGGCACTGAGCGGGCTCGCCGGTCCTCCCACGGGGCAGGCTTCGCTCCAGCGCTGTGGGGAACCCAGTGTCCCCCACTGGGACCACCTGGTTTAGCTGTCGACGGAAGAGTCCTTGTCTAGAATCCGCAACGCCTTTAGAACAGTGGTTCTCAACCTTCCTAATTCCGCGACCCTTTACTACAGCTCCTCATGTTGTGATGACCCCCCCATAACATTATTTTCGTTGCTGCTGCTATGAGTCATAAATATCTAGTTTTTGAGGGTCTTAGGCGACCCCTGTGAAACACAGGTTGAGAACTGCCGTTTTAGAGAAAGGCCCCTGACCTGCTAATGAGTCAGTCTCCCGGCGTCTTAGAAAGGCCACCACGGTAGAAAGTCAGCTGATCTTGAATGGTGTTAAATTTGAGGCAAGAAGTGGATTGTAGGGGACTTGTTCTTTACAGGTTCTCCACGTGTTCATTTCCACTTTTCGGGTTTGCTTCAGTTGAAGTTATTTCCACGAAGTTTATTTTTTTTTATTTTTTTTCACGAAGTTTATTTTTATTACAGAAGTTGCTGAAGATTACAGGTTTGACAGAGTCCACTGACCCTCGCAGGCAGAAAGCAAGCCACTGAATTTTGTGCATCGATGTTTCCTTTCCTATCTGAAGCAAAGTCATTGTAGTGATAACTAAGACGGTTTCCAAAACCAAATGCACCCTCATTTTCCATTTATCTGTTTACTCTCCAGACTGCCTAAATTTATGCGAGAAGCATGGAGGTAATTCACGGCAGGGGCTACTGCTGCAGGGATCTTGAAGGAGCTGACATCCTGTCAGACACCTTTTACTCTAATCAGCTGCACACCCCGCTCGAAATAACTACTCGCCCAACCGCTTCAGAAGACAGGTAAAACAAAAATCAGGAAAATGCAAAAGAAAGATTTCATTACCTTAGTGACTTTATAACACACAAGCACTTCAGCCTCCCATTTATCATAGGGAAAAGAAAATGAAACAAGACTAAACTTTACATGGTTAACCAGTTGAAATTGGAGTATATTGCTGTATCCTATTTTTAAAAAAACAGATGCTGGGCGGTGGTAGCGCACACCTTTAATCCCAGCACTCGGGGAGGCAGAGGCAGGCAGATCTGTGTGAGTTCAAGGCCAGCCTGGTGTGGTGTACAGTGTGGGTTCCAGAGCAAGTACCAAAACTACAGAGAAACCCTGTCTTAAAAAAAAAAAAAAAAAAAAAAAAAAAAAAAAGACATCAAAATTTTCATCCTAGAAGTGTGTGTGTGCGCATGTGTGTGCGTGTGGTGTGTGCGCACACATGCAGTGATTGAACTGAGACCTTATGCCTGCTAGGCAAACTACCACTAAACTACACCTCCAGCTCTGTTCTAGAATTCTAGAATGGTCCCTTCTTCACTTGGAGATCAATCTGTTTATTGTGGTATCCACTAGTAGTGTATTCACCAACACCTTCTGCCCAGAAAGACTCCCGGAATCTGTCACCAACAACGGTTGCTGTGTAAGCCCTGCACTGTCGCTGCTCATGACAGCCATGGCAGTGAGCCTTGTGTCCTTGCACCTCAGATACTGTGCCGGATTCTCTGGCCTGGCTTTCTTCTGCTTGGCTTACTGGAATCATTTTGAGAGGAAGAATAAGTTTGTTTTTAATTGCCTTGTGTAGCTGTGCTCTCGCTTTGCGCGTTTCTAAGAAGAGAATAGGTGATGGCTCAGCTGGTAAAATGCTGACTGAACAGTAGGAAGCAAAAAGCCCCTGCCTTCCAGGAAGCCACTCTTCCTGATGGTAAAGATCCACCATGTCCTTGGCGTATATTAGCTTTCAGAAGCTTACTTTTCTAAGCATAGAGAAAGGCACACACACCCGTGCCAAGTGCGACAGATTTTGAGTTCATGTGTCAACTATGATCATAATATACAATTACTTCCTTATACCAGCCTACTTCGTTCTTCTTGTAGTGGGCAAGGCAGTCAGACAGTACATTAAAATCACCTAAGGATAATCATATCAGCTTATCCCTGTGATTTAAGCCTTTGGGAGGCTAAGACAGAAGAACTATTGAACTAAGATTATTGCTGTGAATTTAAGGACATCCTGGGCTATATAGTTAGTTCCCAGCCAACCTGGGCTACCAAGTAAGTAATCCCCTGAGAAGCTTCGTAAAAATATATATTTCCAGGCTTAACCTATACATATTCTGACATACTAAGTTGGAGGGGCATCAGAAGAACCTGAGGAAGACTGGGTTTGCAGAAAGCACTGTAAACAGTAAGAGAACCAGAAATAGGGTTCTGCCTTACCCAGTGATCAAGGAACAAGCTAATCTTTATATCTATGCCTCACTTTATTCACTTTGGTGTTCCAGAGCAATTATAGTAGCCACTGTTTTATAATAACCTCATTTGTTCTCCTTTGAGAATGTTAAGTAACTTAATAGACACTGTATGCTATTGTATTTTCTCCATTGAAAGTTCAGAGACTAGGAATAGTTCAGTGGCAGAATTCTTGCTAGCATGTATGAGGCTCTAGGTTCAATTTCCAGTGCACACATGTACACAAATGCATGCACACACTCACACACACACTAAATAAGCGTACTTGTGACTGAGACAGCACCTAGAATCACTAGCCCTATCTCCTCTTCCCAGTAAGCTGACTACTTGTTCTGTAACTCATCAGTCAAAGAAATATATCAATTAAAGAATCATTTTGAGAATTGATTAGGATTTCAGTATAGGTTCACGTTTTACTTCTAGGTTTATTGCTTTTTGATTCTTGAAACACACACACACACACAGAGATTAGTTCTCTGCCATCTTAAAAAAAATTAAGATTTGTGTGAGCTGTCTTGTAACCGTTCCTTCCAATCATTACTAGTCAAATTGAGCCCCCTAATTTGGGGATTGATACTCAAGATTCTTCACAGTGACTTGAATAGGTTTTGGTCCATCCATAACCCTCCCTAAAACAAAGTAAACAATTAACTTCATGATTATTCTCTTTGTTAAGGAGAGGTGTTTTATTTGAAATGATTATTTCATCCTAAAACCTTAACTTACATTTCAACAGTTCCTTCTATACAGTGTTATGAATACTAATACCACAGGATTAGGGTTGAGTAGACTTGAGTATCTAAAATAAAAAGAAACATGCTGGGTGTGGTGGTTCCCAGCTGTTAATCCCAGCACTCAGTAGACTAAGGCAGTTGAACTGCCATGAGTTCCTTGCCAGCTGTGCCAGAGAGAAAGACTGCAAGGGGTTGAAAGGGTAAAAGGTGAGTTAGGCTTTACCTCTTATTTTATATATACATATATATAATATACATATATACATACTTATAATAATATATACATATATATTTCAATTTTGCAACTTCACTGGGTGCTAGTACACATGATTGATTAACATTTTTTGGCTCATCTTCTGGAACAATGTATTTTACTAGGGCCAGATATTGAGAAATTGACTCATTTATGATTTAAATATAACTTTACAAACTTAAAAATTAAAGCTTAGCTTGTCATTAATCACAAGTGTTTAATATTTTTCACTTGTCATGTCCCTTAAACCATGTGCGTTGATCATAGTCAGAGCTGGGAGAAGAGGAAAGATCTGGAAGCTGATTGCCAGGACCCCACAGCAACAGTCACCAAGCTTTCCTAAACTGGTTTGTGTAGAGCTTAGGACATGCTGTCTGCAACAAACCACACAAAATATTTTGTTCTTTACAGTTTCATCATATATACTCTGTTCTGCTGTGAAGGCAGCCACAGAATAGTCATACATAAATGAAAGGCAGTATTCCAATCAAATACTAGTTGCATAACAGTTAGTAGGTCCATAATTTAGTAGTTGTTTATCTAGCACTTTTATATGATATTCAGTTCCATCTGTAAGACAGTCCTGTGTTAATTCTCCATTGTACTTAGCAGTTACTATTGGGGAGGGGTCCTCTAAGGCATGTACTGTGCTGGAAGAAGTACCCAGGAGCTCGTGCCTCTCTGGGCTACGCTTCCATGACTCTGACTGCCCCCCCCCCATACTCACTGAAGAGTCCACAGGACTGAGGAGCCCAAAGAAGACTGTTCTGCTCTCCTCTCATACTTTCCTCTCACCATGGCCCTCTAACACTATGCCCGCAAATTCCTGACCCCGAGACCAGCTCTAAATAGAGAAACGCAAAACCATTTTTGTGGTTCATGCAATCAACTAAGTTCTACTCAGGTCTTTACAAATCTCCCAAACTTATCCAAATATTCTTAGTATGGCGTAGTGCTTTTAAGCCTCTGACTTGAGACTTAGGCTGTTTCTGTTCATCAACACATTGACCCACACAGAGAACTCAGTCCCTCAGTTCCCTCCAGAGGACCATTGCTGCACAGCATTTGCTAACCTAGGGACCCCACTGAACTGTTGGGAACCAAGTAATGACTTGACAGTACTAGCACCGTCCCTTCACAAGGCTCCAAGTCGCTCAGCAGACGGTGCCAGGAACATCCAAATGCAAAGGAGCAAGTTTGACCCTTACCTTATACCATACATAAAATTTACTCATATGACTCAGAGACAGATGTAAAAGCAAGTCCTAAAACTACAAAACTCATGGAGGGACAGCAGGAGTGAGTCTTTGGTTTTGGAGTTGCTGCATATTTATATGTACATCCTAATTAACAAAAGTAAAAATAAACTGAACTTCATCAAAATTAGAAACTTTGGCCGGGAGGTGGTGACGCACGCCTTTAATCCCAGCACTCAGGAGGCAGAGGTAGGTGGATCTCTGTGAATCGAGGCCAACCTGGTCTACAAGAGCTAGTTCCAGGACAGGCTTCAAAGCTACAGAGAAACCCTGTCAAAAAAAATTTAGAAACTTTGATATTTCAAAAGATACTCTCAAATAAGTGAGAAGAAAGCGTACAGAACAGGGGAGCATATTTGCTTAGTTCAGCCAATAAAAGACTTCTTCCTGGAACTTAAAAAGAACTTGTAACTAAGAAATAAAATTTAAAAACACAAAATCAAATAGACATTTTCCAAAGAAGAAATAGAAACAGGAAGTACTGTTGTCATTAAGAGAATACAAAACAAAATTACAGTGACATACTCCTTTACTTCCATCAAAACGGCTATAATTCTTTTTCAGACACACATGACAAATGCTAAGCCCTTATACCAATCTTCCAGGAGTGTATAATGAATCATCTGCTATAGAATAGCCCAACAGTTTCCTAAGAAATTAAATTCAAATTCCTAAGAAATTAAATTCAAGGATCCAGCTATATAATACATTCTTTGGTAGTGTTCTCTAGAAAATTAAATCAAGTACTCAAAAATACTAATATTTAGTACAACAATATTAATAAGAGTCAAATATCTTACCAACTGATGAATGGTTGAGCAAAATGGAATATCCATTGGTAGACTGTTATGCAGCCATTAGAGGAATGAAGTCCTGGTTCATGCTATATTAAGCATCAACTTTGAAAGCATTATGTTTTGAATGATGGAAACCAACATAAGACTACATAGTATATGGTTCTGTTTATATGAAGTGTCAGAAACAGATAAGTCTATAAAGAAAGTAGGTGCTTGGGGTGGAATAAAGGTGGGGTCCTTAATATAGCACAGCCAAAGAACACAGGGCTTCTTCTTGAGGTCATGAAAATATAAAATTGACTCTGATGGCTGCTATACACACTCGTGAGTCAACTAAAACTGTTGAATTCTATGGTATGTGAATTTCATCTCAATCTTTTTTTTTTTACAAAATAAATACATTTGTGAGAAGGGCTAACCGCTAACCTCATTCGTTTAACAGTCAGAGTGTATCATAATCTTAGAATTCTATATTCTGAAAACATGACCTAGACTGCTAATGATGTGAAAGGGATTTAAGATACAGCCGAGCAGTGTCAGAGGTCTGTCATTTCTCACAGGTATCAGGAGCTGCGGGAATCATGGCCACAATGCAGGCTTCCATGGGGTGCTGAAAGGGAATATGGTGGCATTATTCCAGTTGCTCTTCCTGAAGAACACAGGCCAAAATGTGAGCCTCCCCGTGTCATGGGCAAAGGACATCAGCATTATGGATTTGGAGGAGACATCTGGCCAAAGTGAGTGACCTTTCCAGCATTCATGTTCACAAAAGATCTGCATTAACCATTTCTCGTTTTCCTTGTCAGTTCTTAACATATCTGCTTCTGGACTTCTTCTAATTCTGTGCTTCCCAGTTGTGAAGTCAGTGGTAAATCTGTAGTTTTGTTTTGTGTTGCTGCCATTTGAGATATTAAAGTATTCTGATTAGAAATTTTAATTTACTCCTCACTTATCTAAACCTAATGAAGGCTGGAACAGTGTCTCAGAAGCTAAGAGCACTGGCTACTCTTCCAGAGGACCTGGGTTCGCTTCTCATACCCACGTGGCAGCTCACAATCATCTGTAACTACAGTTCTGGGAGATCTGACATTCTCTTCTGGACTACACAGATATTGTACATGAATAATGTTCAGATATACATGCAAGCACATACAACTGTATACATAAAATAAAAATGAAAACTAAATGTGATGAAAGGCAGAAGGAGGAGATTAAGTTAAAAATGTTTTTGCTGGGGCTGGAGAGATGGCTCAGTGGTTAAGAGCTTTGCCTGCTCTTCCAAAGGTCCTGAGTTCAGTTCCCAGCAACCACATGTGCTCACAACTATCTGTAATGATATTTGGTGTCCTTTTCTGGCCTGCAGGGATACATGCAGGAAGAACACTGAATACATAATAAATAAATCTTTTTTTTTAAAAAAGTTTTTGCTTGAGCAAAAAAGCTCACTCCGATTTGTACATGTGTTCTTGGTTTGAGACTCTGTTTTCTAGTTTGTTGACTATATTTATTAAAGTATTTGAACCTGCAGGACACTATTTTCAGACTGATTTTTTTTCCATATGTGTCTGGGGTAGGATGCATAAAAGTCAGAGGACAACTTGAAAGTTAGTTCTCTTCTGCTATGTGGATTCCAGGAATTGGCCAGGCTTGGCAGCAGGCACCTTTACCCGCTGAACTAACAGGCCAGCCTATATTTTCAGGTAATGAACTGTAAAGTCATTCCTTCAGCAAGAGTATTCAAAGCACAAAACTAAAGGAGCCTGGACCTGGTGGCAAGGCATGTAATCCAAGCTGACTAAGAGACCGAGGCAGGATGATCAGAAATTCAGGGCCTGGGCAACTTGATAAGAAAGACCATGCCTCAAAATGGAACATAAAAAGAAAGAAAGAAAGAAAAAAGGACTCAGGATATAGTCCAATGTTCAGTGGTGAAAAATCTGCCTAGCATGCACAAGGTTCTAGGTTAAAAAGGGAGAGGCAAGCAGCAATTTAGCAAATTAAATTAAATCCCTCATTATTTGGTAGTGGTTATTATATTTGCTAAAGGTTATTATGTTTACCTGGAATGGAATCCATAAAATCATGGCACAGCACCCACTTCCTTTCCTGCCTTATCTAACACTCCCAGTTGCCTGGTTTACTAACAGTCTAGGTAACTAGCTTCTTGCTGTTCTAAATCATGTAAAAGAAATAAATTAGGGAAGATAAACCCCAGCTAGACAATGAAATGTCAATAACAGGGCCATATGCAGCCAGTGACCTTCTGTAAGCATCAACAAATAGAGCAAGGCCCTGCAGAGACTCAGCACACATTACAGGTAGTGAGGACCTTGTTCAACAGACTTTCTTTGAGGACTCCACTCTCAGAGAAGCTCTTAACTATGCTATAGTTGGTTATGCCTTTGGAAACTCTAGGCTCTCTCTCTTTCCTTGAGCTAGACATTGCAAATCTGTAGAACAGGGATTTGACCCCAGGTTCGTTTGATGCTAACGTCCCAAGTGCATCCACCTGTGCATTTTATTGATTCACCCATTTACTCCCTATCTGTTCCTTATCTTGCACATAGCAAGTATTGGCTTAGCAACCAGGGTACAGCTCTTTGAGGAATGCACAGCTGTGGTCCCCAACATTTGTATGTTAAATGTGCACAATATGCCTAACATAGTGGCGCACGCCTTTAATCCCAGCACTAGGGAGGCAGAGGCAGGCGGGTCTCTGAGTTAAAGGCCAGCCTGGTCTACAAATCAAGTTCCAGCACAGCTAATGAGTGCTGTCACACAGAAACCCTATCTCAAAAAAAAAAAAAGTGTGCTAAAGGAGAGCCAAAAAGACTAGTTTCAAACATTCCGAGTAATCCAGTTTAAATGAAGAGGTCCCTCATTCTGGCTAGACACAGCCCTAAGACCCTGGAGAGGGAGCACTATTCCTGCTAGAACCATCACTCTTCCCTGACCTCGGGCCTGGGTTAATATATCAGTTTTTCTAGTGCCCTTGTATGTCAGTGTTGTCATCCTAGCACACTTCTCTCTTGAAAACGTCTTTCTGACAGTCCTCTGGCACACTGCAGATACCTTGGCAAACAACTGTAGAATATGGTTTATCTTCTGTAACAAAGACTTTTTTCTTACAGTACTTTCTCTCTAAAAACAGTCTTTTATACAAAATATTTTCCAGCTCTTTGATGCGTCAAGCCTCAATTCATTCATAAAAATATTACTCTTGAAACCACGTCACCTTCCCTGGGTGGGGAGGGCATTTCAGTTGGGGTTCTGGGATGCCACAACTCACCCCCTCTTTGTAAAAATGTATGCTGCTTATTTTTTGTCAACTTAACACCTGTGAGGGGGAACTCCAGTTAGTAATTGTTTCTATCCAGTTGGCCTGTGAGAGTGAGTAAGCATTTCATTGATTCATGATTGATGTGGGATGGCCCAACCCATTGGGCAGTATCACTCTAGACAGGTTGTCCAGGGTTATATAAGAAAGCAGGCTGGAGAGATGGCTCAGTGTTTAAGTACACTGGCTGATCTTCCAGAGGATCTGGGTTCAATTCTCAGAACCCACAAGACAGCTCACAATTGTCTATAACTCCAGTTCCTCAGCAAAAGACCAATACATATGAAATAAAAACAAATAAATTTTTAAAAAAAATCCAAGCATGAACCAGGGAGAGCAAAACAGCACTCCTCTTCTGTGGTCTGTGGTCTCTGCCTCACTTCCTCCATCAGGGTTCTTGCTTGAGCTCCTCCCCTGACTTCCATTAATGATGGATTCGAACTTATGAAGTAATAAAGCCTTCTTCCCTAAAGAGAATTTGGTCAGTATTTATCACAGCAACACACAGCAAACTAGGAGGATTGGGTAGGCTCCTTCTTCCTTCACTAACTCTACAGGTACCTGCTCCTTAGAGAAATGACATGGTGAGATTATCTGAACGAAACAGAAAGAGCAAAGCTAAAGAAAGGGTAGCCCTCTGCAGAGCAAGGCATGCCATGGGAGACACCATTGCTCTCCAGCTCTTCCTGACAGGTTTATATCTAAGGAAAACTCTTTAAAGGTATTATCAACAATATTCACCCAACCACAGTATGCAAGCTTCAGAAGTTCTAAGTGGGGTCAGTTATCCTCCATTTTATCCATTCACTGAGAGAATAAAACCAATAGAGTAATAAAAAGGTATGGTCTTGTTTTCACTCTCACAAATAAGTTTATACAAGTGGCAAAACTGTTCATTTCTCTATAAAAAAAAGTAAGTAGATTCTTCACTAAACTACTGTCAAATGATAAAAAGCTATTAAGTAGATCTGTAGTACTCTGTGTACTGAGGTTTTCTGTCCTGCCCAGTTCCCACAGTTGTTAAGTCCCAAAGAAATCACACAGAGGTCTACATTAACTATAAACTGATTGGCCCATTAGCTCAGGCTTCTTATTAACTCTTATAACTTACATTAGCCCATTATTCTTGTTTATGTTAGCCACATGGCTCAGTACCTTTTTCAGCAAGGCAGTCACATCTTGCTTCTTCTGTGGTTGGGACAGGACTGCAGAGGAATGGGCTTCCTCCTTCCCAGAATTCTCCTGTTCTCATTGACCCGCCTCTACTTCCTGTCTGGTTGTCCCCGCCTATACTTCCTGCCTGGCTACTGGCCATTCAGCGTTTATTTAAAATATGATGGACAGAATAAAGACCATTGTCCCACAGTGGTCTTTCTTTAATGGTAATGGTAGTGGTACATAAAAGTCAATGGGACCACATGAAGCAAAACTTCTAATGTCTAAAAGATAAAACAGATGCAAAATTTATCGCCTGACAAGAACCAAACAGTATAATAAAAAAAAAATCTTATGCTATTAATAGGAGTCAACTAAGGAAAGAAACTTCTACGTAATCCATTCCAGGTTGTAACTTAATGTCTTCCAGGAAGCATTTGGAGTCAAGCAGTTCTTTGTCCCAAAAACTGCAAGATGCTTAGCTTCCCTGGCTCTTCACCTCTACACAACCACTAGCTGTAACAAGTGGAATAAAGTCACCACTATTCACTCCCAAGCTTTTCCTGAAAGAGGAAATGGGGGGCAATATTGCATGCATTATATCTAATCCCAACCCTACATTCCAGATACACGTGAAGCAAGGTGAGCCCACAAAACCTGCAGTTCTCCAGTTTGAAGAAAAGAGAGCAAAAATCATATTAGCAAGGGGAAAACCTAGAGAGGTCAAAGGGCTAACAGTGATTCCTGTAGAGTCCAACAGACATCTGATTAGATTTCTTGTTGTCTGAGGTTTCTGTCCCGCCCGTTTGTCCCAAAGAAACACACAGGGGTCTACTATATTAATTATAAACTGGTTGGCTTATTAGCTCAAGCTTCTTATTAACTCTTGTAACTTATATTAGCCCATAATTCTTGTCTGTGTTAGCCATGTGGCTTGGTACCTTTATCAGTGAGGCATTCTCATCTTGCTGGGTCACAACTGCAGACTGAACTTTCCTCTTCCCAGAATTTTCCTGTTCTTGTTGCCCTGCCTATACTTCCCTCCTGGCTACTGGCCAATTAGAGTTTTATTAAAATACAAGTGACAAATCTTTACAAAGTACAAGACCATTGTTCCACAACATTTGCTGCTCACAAAACCCCTATGGGTTTCTCCCTCTCATGCTGCACCATGGGTACATGAGTATGATGTTAAGGTGTGTGAGCTATAGGACCTTCATTTTGCTTACTTTGAATGTTTGGAACTTGCCCCCTGGCAAGATAAAATGCAGGGTGCCCACATGTGCCCTAAGTTCCACCAACTTCTGTACTAGACTTTGATTTGCCAGGCAAGTAGTAACTATCCTTGTTGAGGAGATCACTGGGGAAATAAAGGGTGGATTCAGAAGACACTGGGTGGCCACAGTGAACACTGAGCTCATATGAAAACATTACCCGGGAGGCCCAGACTCCCTTGTGCACACTCCCCTTCTTAGAGGGACACACCACCCTGCCATATGAGTCTTCTCCCATGCATTTTGCTGCTTTATTCCTAATAACATTTATTTGTGTGCCCATTGAAAATATATGGTGGTTTTTTTGTTAATGTATGCACCTATATGATCGTAGTATTAAACAATCTAGATGTTTCTCTTATTTTCAATCCAGATAGTAAGCATAGATTTTATTTTATTTTATTTTAATCTCAATACCCACAGTACATATGGGTCAGAGGTGAGACACATATTCTGTTGCTTTACCTGTACCATAATGAACTGCCTTACATAGGGATTTGTCAGCTCATCATGAACGTTTCTTTAGAACGAATCCTAAAGGGAAAGTCTTGGTCATAACATCTGAGGGTTTTTAGTTTAGTATATGTGACCCAAATGATTTATATTCTTGTAAGTGTCTAAAAGCATTCATTTTCTTGTGCCCCAGCCTCTATACTATGTTTTTGTCTATTTTGTGAGTTAATCCATTCTCATGATTCTGAGAATATATTTTTTGATTACTAGTTATTTGGATATGTTTTTGTTTATGTTTTACATAACAACTTTTGTATTTCCTCTTCAGCTCTTATTTGATTTTTATTTTATTTATAGATTATTTTTGTTCTTTATGGTCAAAGTATTGGATATCAAAAATCTGTGTTAGGGACATGACTCAGTAATTAAGCACCTGTCACATAAGTGAAAGGCCTTGAGTTGAGGTGTCCCGAAGCAGACACAGTGTTGTGCATCTGACATCCTTGCACTACTATGGCAAGAAAGGAGGCAGGGGCAGGAGAATCCCTGGAGCTCATGGGCCAGCTATTCTGCTGATCTCAGCAGTGAACAAGACACCCTGTCTCAGACATACTGAACACACACACACAAACACTCCAAAACAAAACAAGATCTTTTTACCAGTGGAAAATTGTAAACATTTGTATAGATTTTCCCCCTTGTAGGTGTTGTTTAGGGAGAGGGTATTTCCCTTTCTAGATTATATACAGTGCATGTCTGTCTGTAGGTAATGTGCACATGAATGCAGTTGTCCACAGAGGTCAAAGGTGATGTGAGCCTCCCTTGGATGCTGGAAACTAAACTCTTGTACTGCAAGAGTAGCACACATTCTTAACTGCTGAGCCGTATCTCTAGCCCTCTTTTTTATTTTTAGCTTTTTAAACAAGGAATGTTTATGTAACTCGAGCTGAACTGCAGTCTTCCCGCCTTGGCATTCTGCTGTGAACTTACAGGCTCCTGCCCCTTTCCTTTGCTATTTAAGTTTTACTCTAACTGAAATGATCTTCTTTGAATTGCAAAGTGGAGATGGTTAACTGTTCCCATCCTGTTTACTAAACAATTCTTACTTTTCAACTAATTTAAAGCACTACTTTTTATATATTCTATATAGAATTTCTGTATACTTGTGTCTGTATTCATCTATTTGTCCTTTGCCCTCTCATGGATATGCCCTACTATGTACAAATACGTTCTATTTAATTTGTTGTCTCTTCAGAAACCTTCCTATTGAGCAGTTCTACTATCTGACACAGAACAAGAAGAGTGATGTCTATGGAAACGACTCTTTGTAAGTCCTGGGCAGGGGCTGTTTTATGTATTTTAAGTAAAAAAGAATTATATGAGAAATTTAGAAGCGTTTTCAGAGGAAAAAATCCTTTCTGACATATTAAAGATCACCAGCACCAGAAATCAGCACTTAACAGATGGAAACAAGCAAGCCAGACAGATGGTGTGTGGTCTCTAAACAAGCCTGTGAAAACTAAGGACTCCTGGATTGGAGAGTGGGGCAGGTCACCATGGACCACAGCTCTGCCGTCTCCTCAGTCTAGTAAGGGTCTGTTAGATGTTTTTAAATGATCACTGAAAATGACAAGGGTCCTCAAAAAAATTGGAATATTATGCAGAGAGGGGTGATAATAAGTACCTACTCTTGATAAAATCTCTGCCTCTTTATGGATAAGGGTGTGTTTGTTAACTCATCTTCCTGTAAGGTAATGTCTTCTATCATATTAAATTGTTTTAAAATGGTTTCTTATATATACTGAAAAATCGGGCCTTTATTTTCAAATAAAAATAAGATAACATGACCTTTCAGAACCTAGCTGCGTGTACAATGAACATACAGCAAATTACAGAAACACTGAAGTAACACAGAACCCTTAAGGTTAGTTACAAGAAGCAAATTCAATATAGAACTGAGCCACAAGAGGGAGCCAAAATTTGTTTTTGGCTTAAATATGGCAAAATTAATGGATTGATGTCAAGAAAATAGTGTCTCTGAACATCTGGTAATTTTATTTGTGTCTTTTTAAATTTTTAATTTAAAAATATTTTGTCTATTTTTTAATTTTGAATCAAGCCTGTTTTAGTCATGAAGTATAGCAAATTTTGTCACATGAGACATTTTGGATGCCAACTTGTTTTATTCATATGAAGTAGCTAGTCCAGCAACACTAATCCTTTGGAGTCACATCTTCGTCACTTTCTGCACCCCCATATTTCTGCCTCAGCGACATATCTGGGAGATAGGCCCACAGAATCCAAATAAAGATTTTTAAAAAGTTATGGTTCATGTGAATTATGTATTTATAAAACACTACAGAATAATGCAGTTATATAGCTTGCTGCTTTCTTATGAACATATACAGCATGGAAGATATCAAAAACACTCAGCAGTATGTTCGAATTTCTGACTTACTTTATTATGAAATGATAACATTCTGATTATTTTCCACACCTGAAGTCTTTGAGTCTTATGAGCATAGGCTGAAATAATTGCTGATGTCAAATGTCAGTAGATAACTATCCCTCTGCAGGGAGCTTGTTTCCAGGACTGTGGTATTACCTCTTGGCCTGTGCTTCAGAATAGTTAGTAAGTACACCACATCAGAGTGAACTGGTTCAGAAAATCCACGCCTCTGGCAAGTTGGCCAGTTTTGTTCTCTGCCGTCTAACAATTGCACAATATTTACTGTCATGAGATATCAGCAGCTGTGGGCAAAGGGACAAAGCACACCCAGTATTTATATACTCCCCAGCCAGGCCACACGGGTCGCTTTAGGACACGTAATTGCATCACATGGGATATCAGGCTCTCAGGACTCTCTGGTCACTGTCTGATTATGACAGCGGAGGTAAGAACAGAAGCTTCAGTCCCCGAACCTTCTCTGCAAATAAAAAATGCGAAAGGTTTGGTGACCAGGACCAAGTTAGAATCAGTTTTATAAATCGATCAATAGACAACTTGGATATGAAAATACTATGTCTGTGTCTTACCATTGTGCAAGGCAATAAAAATTTGCCTACATGTCAATGTGGACTAAAGACAGGATATATCTTACTATTCTTAAGTTTCTAATAGGAATCCAAGCCTTTAAAAGCCCCAACTTAAATTAGGACTTTTGTCCTGTTTTTATTCTAGGTTACCCAAACCACCTAATTCAACAGTAGGGTAAGTATATACTTTATATTTTCCTCCCCATTATAATAAAAGATGATGGCATTGCTTATGACTTAGGTGTGTATGAACACAGAAAGCTCCACACACATAACTGCTGGAGGACAGTCTGGTGCAGTCCACGGCACTGATATTTCTATTTCACTTATATTCAGTCAGTCCTCTTAAATGCAATTTTAGTACAGCAGAGTTTTAGGGTTATAGACATTTAGAATTTAAAACAGAGATTTCTTCATATCCCCCTCCTCTCCCTCCTGTGAGCCTCTTGCATTCAAGCAGCGTGCTTTTCATAGCAAAAGAACCAAGAACAATGTGCCGTAACAAGTCCACACTTCAGATCTGATCAGTTTTGCATGCTGTCCTTTTTCTGTTCCAGGATTGCACCTACAACACAGTATTGCACTTAGTGGCATGTTTCTTCAGGTGTCTCTCAGCTGGGACAGCACCTTAGACTGCACTTGTTTTGATATTTTTTTTTTTTTTAATATAATTTTTTATTGAAAAAAAAAAAGATTTCCGCCTCCTCCCTCCCTCCCCACCCCCCCCCCCCTTCCCC